TATTATAACATCAAAATAGTAATTTCCCAAATAAAATGACATGTATAAAAAAATTTGAAAAACCATGGCATTTATCTCGATAGGATATAAATATACTTTCTCTGTTTTAGAATAAGTATCATACAACAAATTCCACACCAAACTTACAAATATATTATATTTCTAAAAAGAAATTTGATTAACTATTAAAAATTATATTTACTAATGTAGAATTGAAGTTAAACCGAATATTTTGTATTAAAAATATAAAAGGATAGTATTCCTAAACATAAATTCAATCATAAACAATACTTAATGGAAAACGAAAGTAGTAATTTACGATAATATTTGTTCGCTTCGTTAGGTGCTGACACAGTGACATATATACATATGATATATATAACAGTTGTACCCAAACATGTATATATATCTTAGTAATTTAATATCTATATATATATATATATATATATATTTCCGCAATTTAATATTATATATAGGAAAAGAGTATGTGGTGTACAAAGGATATTCACACGCTGCAAAATATTTTTAAAATCGGGTAATGGGAAAGGAGACAAAGCTTTGATGAGATAGCTGTCTGTCTCTGTAACGATCTTGCCCATTTACTCCGAAATGTATTATCGTAGTCCGGCAGTAGTGTTTTTTAATAGGGAGACTCACTAAAATGCCCCTTTTTCAATACCCCTTTTCAAAAATGCTTCTTTTGGCTGTCCATTATTAAAAATACCTCTTTTTATGTACAAAATGACTGAATTACCCTTCTTTTAATAAAAGATATTACAAATATATAAGGAAATATAACAAAATTAGGTTCACAAAATACAAAATATTTTTGGCGGAAAAAGTGATCCCACAATTTTTCCCGCCAAAAACACTTGTAAAAACTTGTAAAAACCTTTAAAATACCTTGTAAAATTTTCCCGTAAAATTTTTTCCCGCCAAAAAATTTTCCCGCCAAAAAATTTTTTTTGCGGGAAAAGTGATTCCGCAATTTTTTTGGCATTAAATTTTTGGAGGAAAAATTTTTGGGGGGAAAAATTTACAAGGTATTTTAAAGGTTTTTTACAAGGTATTTATAAGGTTTTACAATGTATTTTAAAAGGTTTTACAACGTTATTTATAAGATATTTATAAGATATTATAAGATTTTACAAGCTATTTTATAAGGTTTTACAAGTTATAAGATTTTACAAGTTTTTTATAAGGTTTTACAAGTTGTAAATACTTTATTAACACTTATAAGTACCTTGTAAAACCTTGTAAAATACAGTTGTAAAACTGTACAAAACACTTGTAAATACTCTGTAAAACCTTTAAATACCTGTAAATTTTTCCCGCCAAAAATTTTCCCGCCAAAAAAATTGCGGTATAACTTTTCCCGCAAAAA